CACACACACACACACACATGCACGAACGCATAGGCAGCCTGGCCATGAAGACCAATCCCCCGGATATCAATAGCCATTGCAGACTTCGGGACTTTCACGTCGGTCGGAGGCCAAAACAGCTGTGGAAGCACGAGTATCCAAGCACTGCACGGTGTGCCCTCGAGAAAGGGTGTCAGCAGTTTTCGGAGGGGCAACAAAACAGAGTACAGTAAGTCAAGTGCCAGCATCAGAACGTCACATGATATGTTCAAGCTGAGCATTGGGAAGGCGCTACAGACTTCCCCAGCGGATGTGTGATCTTTGAAGTGGACGGCCGCAAGCTGCGGGTGAGCAGCTCAGGGCCGCATGCACTGGCGGAAGTGAAGATGCACTGCACGTCTTTTCGCATCTGGCATAACAGGCTGACAAGTTTCTGCTGGCAGCTCGCTCCGTCTACTTTGAGCGCATGTTGCACACTGGCATGAGCGAGGTGACCCAACAGTGCGTTGCGTTCTCCGAACATCGCCTCAGACCATAGTCTCTGCATGGGCGTCATGTCAGGGAGCCGCATCGCGAGTTCCTATTCCAAGGCCCAATGTGCTGTGACCTTGAGAAGTCGAGAAGTCAGCCCAACATGTCGGCAGGGCATCAGCCCCTGCTTTCGAAGCAGTTCTGCGCTTCATCTATTCCGCCGGCCAAGCTGGGCAAGTGCCGATGCTGCACTTGGCACTGAAAGCTGCTCATCTTGAGCTCTAGTCCGCTCGGCGATCTGCTCAACACGGTCTTCCTTGCACCGCGGTCGTTTTGTACACCGATTGCACGAGCGGCATTACGGCCTGCACAACTATCACAACTGTTCCCGCGAAACAGCTAAGGTCGTGCTCGTGACATGGGGGCATGTGCGGTGGTTGTGACAGGTCGAGGCTTCTGTTGCTTTCACATCAATGCAAAAAATATTCAACTACTTCGACCAGTCCTACAATAATCATGCGTCCTGCGACCAGCTCGGTTCTTGTGCGTTTTTAGCCGAGTATGTGCTAAGGCTCTAACTGAGCACGTGTGCAGCGGGGTTGCAGAAAGTTTGCAGGCGAGTGCCCTCGCGATTTTTGCTGCCAGTTTCGGCAGCAGAGGTTGGTGGCGAACCTGGGCGGCACGAAGTGCCGGTGGCCAGCCCGTCGTGTGCCGGGGTGCGGTCATGCACTTCGCGATCGTTTTGTGTGTGACCTTGGCGGCTTAAAGTCGAAGCTCCCGAAAGCCGAGACGGTGGAGTGGAGGGAGTCAGATCAGTCCGGGGGAGCCGGGGAGTGGATGGAGGGACGTAAGGTCCGTGACGCCCCATGTTGTGGAAAAGCTCAGCATTTTGGTCTGGACCTGCATACTGTCGAGTGTTCTACACGCTCCGTGCATGTGGTGATATGCAGACCTAGAATCACTGAGAACCTAACTCCAGCGCACACCAAAGCGGCTTCGTCCTGAGGCCGGAAAGGAGAGAATGGAGCCTGGCAGCCTGGGGACGGAGGCAGGAGGCAGGGAGGCACGGCCAGTCAAGGTCGCCCTTACGAGTGGGAAGAGTGCAAGATGCTGTTGGTCGAGCAGATCAAGGTGCAGTCTTGCCACTCCCGAGTGCAGCGAAGCTGGGGCATTGATGGCGAGAATCCCGTCGCCTCTGGGTGTGGCCGGCGGCCGACGCCGTGGACGTGGAAGCTGCACTGATGCCCTGAGTCTTTTCACTGCCACAGGCCTCGGAAGCTCCTCCAGCGCCTTGAATCTTCCATGGCCACGTCCACCTTGTTGAATCATATTGAATCTCGCGTCGTCCGAGTCCTCCTCAACGGTCGGGCCTTCCTTCGTCTTTTTGGCAGAGCTGTTGCGAAGGCGCCACATGAGGACCCGCAGAGGCCATGATCAGCGCCGTCCGGCCCACGGTACTTCTCTATGCTTGTTTGGCCAGCAACGACCGATCGTGGTGTAGCCACTGTGGCTTAGATGGACGGAGCAGGGTGGCAAACGAAGGCTTGCATGCGAGTGCCTTCGCTGGCGACAGCAGCTCATGCAGCACGCTACCAGTAGCTCGTTGACAGTAGTGGCGAGTAATGAGCAAGCACCCGTGGTGATTGGCTCAAAGAATGGTGTGGGGCCCGGTCTTAAAGGAGGCTCTTTCTGTGGTTTCGGAGGGGATAAGGACTGATCTTTGGGGTCTTCGGTGTCCTGTTCACTGTCAGGGGACCTCCTTCGCCCTGTTGGCCTGTGCATTCCTCCTTGGATTTACTTCCGCGGTTGGACTCTGCCTTTTGGCCTTTTTCCTCCTTTTCTATCCTCGAAACCACCTGCACCGCCTCCTCCAGGCCCGGGATCAAGTGCAAGCACAACCTGCTCCGGCCGGCCCTGCTCGGCTGGCTTTGTATGGGCACACCCGTCTCTGAGGGGGACGATATTACAAGGCTCTCTCTGGAATTGGAGGGCCTCCGTATCTCCATCACCAGGACCCGTCTGAATCCCTGAGTGGGTTTAGCCTTGTGTCAGAGGCCGCACCTTCTTCGCCTCCTGCCGATCAGGTTCTTAGGGTTTCTAGCGCTGGTTCTTTGGGTAGGAGCCCGAACCCGCAGACCCTAAGCCCCGTGCGCTCACCCGAGCCCCGCTCTGCCATCGAGGCCTCTTTCCCTTCCTTGCCTCAGTTCCTGCTTGACTCCGCTAGGCTCCTGCGTTCAGCCGTATCGACCCCCCAGGCTGAGGGCACAGCGTGCCTGGACAGCCGGCTGCTGGGCCGGTGCTGTGATTGAGGGCAGGGCAGTCACCCCGAACTGCACGCCTCCTTTGGAGATCCCTTCCAGGGTCTACGTTGTGCTTATAGGTCTCCACGTACCTTCGTCTGGTGGAGCATCATCGCAACAATTTCACTCTGTCGCACGGTTTCCCCACTGACACGGAGGCCAGGATTTACGTGGCGGGAGCCGGCAGGGTCTACCCTGTTCCGTCCTCGCGGTGAATATGGACGCTATCGTCCCTGCAGACTCTGGGGAGGTTGTTCTCCTCCGGGTCTCGCTGCAACTGCTCCTAGGCATAGAGAGCGATGCCCAACCAGCGGTGTGCTACTGTGTTATGAAAAGGTTGGGGGGGCCTTCTGCTTGCCGTTCCAAACGGCTTCTTCCCTCCCGAGGTGCTCGGCGAGGCCGAGCAGGACGGCTTTCCCGACCTGATTGGTCCGCATATCGTGACCACGGCCCAGGCGGCGGTGGAGCTTTCGGAGACTGGAGATTGGCTGGGCGTCTACCTTGAGAGGACCGTAAGTGTCCTCCTCGTGGACCTTGCCGAGCGTGGGGGAGTGTGTTCCTTTCGACCCAGGTTCGCCTATGCATTTCCCTCTAGCAACGGCCCTCACGAGTTTCGCCATCTCGTGGTCTGCAGAGAACGGCGCGGACCGTGGAGCGGGGTACGTAACGGTAGAGGAGCTTTTGACAGATGCTGGAGCCCCTCCTGGCCTAGGTCCTCGTGCAAAGCCAGAGCCTCGGTGAAAGCCCACCGTGGCGGTGCTGGCTGCAAACCAGCTCGAGATTGTCCAACCCCTTCAGGCCCTCAGCTCTCAGGCGCATGCTTTGTCAGGCCCTACTGTGGGGCCGATCGCTGCTTCACCAAAGGCCACAGGTGCAGCCCTGGGGCCTCCTCTGCGCGCGAAACCAGCAGGCGTTCTGTTCGACCCAGCAGCCGAGGAGGACTTGGGGCTGATGCCTGGTATCGATGGAGAATCTCTAGAAAACAGTGCCCTCACTTCGGCGGTGTTGGCACAGAGCCGGCCCTCACGGCCTTGGTGGCTCAGATTTCTGGGTCGGGCGACCCCATGGGAGATCTCGGCTCCTCCTCCAGCAGCTCAGTGTCAATCAAAGGTTCCCAGGCCAGGCTGCGTCTGCAGAAGGAACTCCACTACAGGTCAGGCACTTTTTATGCGAAGGTCCAGGAGGCTGCCCAGAGAAGGATGGACCCGACTGCCCCCCCCTCTCGGCCTCTCAGGGTCCCGCAGGCTCGCTGATGTGTCGCTACCTCGAGAAATGGGACCACAAGACGTGGGGCCTGGTACAGTGGCAGCCGGCAGATCTTCGACCTTCTGGGGTCGGATCAGGTGCAAACATACTCTGGCCCTTCTCATGGTAATGGTCGACCAACTTGTTATCGATGCTGGACAAGCCGAGCTTGGTTGGTTGCTAACACTACAGGGCTTTACGGCGCCCACCAATGTCCCAGGCTCATCCCTACGTCCGTGCTCTCACTTGGTGGACCCGCGTTGGCTGGCCGTCGCCTTAGGCTATGTCAAAGAGATGGAAGCCCTCTCTACAAGAAGGTCCGAGGTTGCAAAGGCCAAAGCCCCTGGAGGTCCGCCTGCGCCGACTCTCCTCCTCTGACACGAAAACAGCAGAGAGCAAAGCTATGGGCAGAAAAGAAAGCAGCATCCCAGCCGGGGAAGTAGGAGACCTTCAGCAGGTGCGCGCCCGCCGGCGCGAAGCTTCTGACAGGCTTCTCAGCGTCCCAGAGGTTGTCCCTGATCGGACATGTAATGCCGAGGTTTCGTCTTCAAGCCGCTTCTGCACCCCTCCTTTGGAAGGTGCCGCCCAGCCAAATGGACCCATGTTCCCAGGCTCGGCCCCTCGGCCTCATACGTCAGTGTGTGGGCGCCCGTCCTTAAGTGGCGGAGCTCCCCCCTCCGAATCCCTAGCTACTGCTGCAGAGTTTGGCCCGTCCCCTACCAGTCCTGGCGAAGTCCCGGCTGGCAGGATGAGTGGCAGCTCGTCTTCCCCGCCAGCAGCCTGCAAGCCTTGCACTACGACCCCACGAAATGCATCAGAGCTGTCGGAGCGGGACCCCTTTGATCTACCGCTCGATTTTTGCTCGGAATTTGACTTTTGGTCTTGGGCCGCTGCTTTGCCACGGCTCGTCCTCGCTTCGAAGACTTCCTTCGCGAGGCTCCTTCGTGTTTCAATGTGCATCAGCGAGAGGGGCGACCCTGCTCCTCCTACCGCCCTTTTTCCTTTGCCTGTCCCGCCTCAGTGCTCTTCGGGCCAGTGTTCCCTCTGCTGCCACAGCGTGCCGTGCAGGCTCCAGTGAAGCTCGGAAGTCTCTGATTGCCCGAGCCCTTCACGTTGTTATCATGGCCTTGAACTATTTGCATGCTGATTTTAGGCACGTGCCCGTGCGCAGCTTGAGGAGGCATCCGAACCCCTCGCAGGAGCGCGTCTTCGCGAGGGTAGAAAAGATGCTTTGGGTGTGTTCTGACAAGGGGGTCCACCCCCTTTCTTCTGGTCGACGAGGACCAAATCTGATTGCAAGGTCGAGGGAGCTTAGTGGACTCCTCTCTTCTATTGGGCTTTCGACCTTTGCCTACCCTACGAAAGATGTTTTGGGGATCCCTGTGCCCCACGCCGATGAAGGCCCTGAGACCCTCAGGCCCTACAGAGAGGTCGATCCCCAGAGGCTGCACCTCGGCCTAGAGCTCTCGCTACCTTACAGAGAGCCCAAGATCCTTCGCGGGATCCCTCCGAACCTGCTGCCTTTATTCCCAGGTGCTGCGAGCGAAGACAAAGCCCGTACGATTGAGCTGCTCAAACTCTGGGACTCCCGGGGCCTGCTGTATCTCTCCTTCGAGAAGAAGAAGCTCACCCGAGTCTTTGCCGCGGTCAAGGACCAAGTCTTCGACCGACAAATCGGCGACCGCCGAGGTG